TTTCCATTTTCTTTCATCTATTTCTTTTACCTCTTCCAACCTCCATTCTTCTTTAATCTATCCATTCTTCCATTCCTTACTTCAGTCATTCAATTTCCATACCTTCATGTATTCCTAACTTTATTTATCGTCTGTTTTTCTTGTTATTCCCTCATTAGTCTCTCCATATCTTCCTTAGTCTCCTTTACCCACACAAATTATCTTCATCTTCAATTAGCGTTACAGACTTGACGGAACACTAAAGCTACCGACCTCACCTGTCACAAACAATCACTTGTCATTACGCAAACACGACGTGAGACAGACAGGTATACAGACACACTCAAAAGAACGCAACGTATTGTATGAAAGTGAACTCTTAACATATATGCGACTCTCAAACTGAACGCAATAACATAATATCTACCACTCTTAACAGAACGCTTCAAGTCCTTCTAACCCTTCACGTCAGGGCGGTCCATCCCACGAGAGATCCATTGCCCGGACCAACAGTCAACTCCTGCCTCAACAGTGTCCTCCTCCTTCTTCCACTCTATTTTATCAACTCCCTCTCTAGCCACTTCCTATTCTGTTGGGGTTATTCCTTCCCATCAATCCTCCTTTACCCATCACTCGCTCCTGTGTGAAGTCCTACCCTATTCAACCCCTATCAGCCTATAATCTTCCGTCAAATATGAGCCCTTCATCTAGTCCCTCACTGTCAAGCCTGAAAGCCCCCACCGTCAAACCCTCAAGCCCACAGCCCTCCCTCACCGCCAAGCCCACAGCCCACCCTCAAGCCCACAGCCCTCCCTCACCGCCAAGCCCACAGCCCTCACCGTCAAGTCCCCCCTCCCTCCCCTCTTGTCAAGCCCCCGACTCACTCCGGCTTCCACTACACCTCCCCAGGGACCAAGGGCCAGAAAACTCCCCAACATTTTCAGAATTAAACGACATCACATCTGCTTTACAAAATACTCCTCCTCTACCAACAACTTTTATATAATACAACCTAATACAACCTGCTCCTGCTAACATTCTCCTCCACAATATAACCCTCCTTTACCGGTATATCATGTATCGATAATGCTCTCCGTACACCTTTTTGTGTAATAATTACCTCGTTTACCTGTAGAGTATTATCTATGTTTTCTCTCTTTCACCCGTAATGTCGTCTCCTTATAATACCACTAACACACCTGTATCATCTTACCTACCACCAACACACCTGTAACAGCTATCTGCCGCCAACACATCTGCATCATATTACCTACCAACAACACACCTGTAACATCTACCTGCCGCTAACACACCTGTACTGAATGACTCGCTCTGTTACCACTATATGATGCTCCCTCTATGGACTACCTCTCTGCCTCCAGCTACACTTCCCATCAATGTATAGTCTTAAAGTAGCTCGACTGTCTCAAGATCGATCCCTCTCGTGTACTACTATTACTACCCACTCAGCACCCTCTCTCGTAAACTGACTGTCACTAGCCGGTCATCAACCCACTTACATCAATTGACTGTTCACCTTCATAACTCATATTCTGGTAAGAGACATCTCCCTCACCCACCACACCACCTCCCTCACCACCAACCCACCCACCCACACCACCCTCACCCACCCACACCACCTCCTTCACCTCGACACAGTACAACCCAGCAGGTCGACCTTCAATGTTTTATTATCTTATTGATTCCTAAACAAGTTCCAACTTTAACCAGCATTATCGCTCCCTCAACCTAAACTTCCACTAAATATAGCTCCGCGACCCCCCCCACCCAGAGTGGCCCCGTCCGCCAGAGATCGAAGGAGAGAATACGTCTTACCTGTGGGTTTTAGAGCCAAGAAAGGTCTCCAAGATTTCACCTTCCAGGACGCACACAATGCATTTATACCGCCCGCCCGCTTGTCAACCACCCACGCCGTCCTCACCCACCTTCCTCACCCACACCGCCCTTACCCACGCCTCCATTACCTACACCTCCCTCACCCACGTCCCTAACCATTATTTTCATTTGATCTCTAGAGTTGTATGAATGAAGGGAAGTTTGTCCCTTTATGAATGGATGTCATAATTTACCTTTACAACACACACCTGATAGATACTACTCATTGTTCACGTCACAGTCATTCTACCTGTGCAATTAATGTTATTTTTAACCGAATAAAAAATTACGATTGTTCACTTGATTAAAAAAAATAAATAAAATTAAACCATTATCGTAAGTTAATTATTCCACTTTACCTGTAGAGAAAAATCTGATATAATTTGTCATTACGAACGAACTATCCGAAAAATGTCGACGGTATAAAATATAGTTAATTTGAGGGTATAAAAAGCATCAATCACCACGGGAGACAATATACAAGTGTAAAACTAATAGGAAGCAGTTTATGTGTGTGTTATATTGTACCGCTGTAATCCTGTAACACTAAACTACGACATTTGTATAATCCTCTATACATATGTATGTGTAGTGTACAACAGCGCTAAAAATAATCAGTAATTCTGCATATTTGCTGTTGACTCGCTCTGTTGTATACGTTTATCGACCACTAAATATACTACTTTCTACTGTATAAGAGTATTAGTGAACAACAATACTAATCCATGCTGTATACCCTGACCGGCTTAATATTTAGCATTACGTAGTTACTTGTAGTCCACCATGTAGACACCCTGTAGTACAAAAATACATTAACCCTCGTTGCTTTGTGTTGTATAAATGTATAAACTTTCTGCTATATCATTGTAATGTATCAGAGTTACATAAACCACCCAATATTAACAGGTTTTTTAATGCTCAAAAGGTAAAGATACTTAATTTAGGGGGGGGGAGGGAGGGACTGTACACCTTTTCTGTTGAGTAATCTGGACGTAGGTTTTCATACACACGTGACCTAAGTTCCTGGCAGGTGTCGGAGGGGAGGAGGGTCAGGTGTATTTATGTATGAAGGGGGAATAATGCATGTGTTTGGGGAGTCTCTCTCTCTCTCTCTCTCTCTCTCTCTCTCTCTCTCTCTCTCTCTCTCTCTCTCTCTCTCTCTCTCTCTCTCTCTCTCTCTCTCTCTCTCTCTCTCTCTCTCTCTCTCTCTCTCTCTCTCTCCATAAGCCGCCTTTAAGGGTCACAAGTACTACCTGACCAGGATACCTCTATTAATGCCTAGCACCTTGACCATCCCTCGCACACCCACTCGCTGCTGTTGCTAGAGACCGATAAATCGAACACTGGGAGGGAGGAGGAGAAGGAGAAAAGAGGAGGAGGAAGAGGAGAAAGGAGGAGGAAACGGGAGATGAGGGTGAGAGAGAGAGGAGACAGAAGGTAAAATAAGAATAGGGAGGAAGGTAAAAGAAACAGGAACAGATAGGAGGATTGAAAATGGGGGATTGGAAGGAATTGTGAAGAATGGGTAAAGGAGAGAAAGCAGTGAATGAAGGGACAGATGGGGGTGGATAGGAGAGGAAAGAAAGATGGTAAAAGAGGTGGAAAGGGAGGACGGGGGTGGAAAGAGAGAAGAAGGTGGCAAGGGAGAGGAGGAGTGAAAGGGACAGGGAGGGATGAAAGGGGTGAGGAGTGGAAGGGAGAGGAGAGGTGGACAGGAGAGAGGAGGGTGGACAGGGAGAGAGGAAGGTGGACAGGAGGAGAGGAGAGGGGACAGGGAGGAGGAGGGACAGGGAGAGAGAGGAGAGGTGGACAGGGAGGGGGACAGGGAGAGAGGAGAGGGGGACAGGGAACAGGAAGGTGTTATAGGTTCTCAATAGACGCTGATGGTGCGACTTGTCCCATACCGACACCGTTAACTACACTTGTTGCGGCGACACACACACACTCCCTCACCCACCCAACTTGAAGCCAATAACCGCCTTTCGCCTTTTCCCCACAATAATAATAATACTAATAATAATAATAATAATAATAATAATAATAATAATAATAATAATAATAATCTCAAAACTCGTATAACAGAGTGAAGCAATTACATAATCTCTTCGGAAATATTAAATATAGACAACTATTAATATGACAAATATTCTATAATGCTCCTATGACAAGTATAGACTAAAACCACGAGAGATATACAAACATTCAATTAATACAACCAAATGCCAATAAACTTTCAATTATAAAAAAAAACATTCGATATAATTACTACGACGGAAATATCCCAATGACAACTATATTAAAACAAAGACACGTAATAAACATGTCCTTCGGTTTAAACAAGGTCAGAATGGGTCAAAGAGAGGTGACAAACATGTATCGGTCACATCACGGTCGTTCATCGCTAACAGGGGTGTATAAATCAAGAGTGGTGATTGCTTTATGTTTGTGATAAATACAGACATCTGTTACATTTAGTATCTTGCGTTGCTTTTAATACCTACAGTCATACTTAACAGCTACCGTCACACATTTACCGTCATACTTAGCATCTACAATTAATATCTACCGTCATACTTAGCATCTACCGTCACAATTAATATCTACCGTCACACTTAATACCTACCGTCACAAGTAATACTCACCGTCACACTTAACATTTACCGTCACATTTATCTACCACAGAAGCGTCCATAAGATAAACGCCTCATAAATCGCCTGGGTGTACAGACCTAAGTGTAATAACCCTTGTAAACTGTTCCCTCGTGGTCAACCTTAAGACGAATGTTGATAATGAGTCACTGGCGCAGCTTAACCCCTCAATTAACCGTCATAACTTAACCAGGGTGTGTGTGTGTGTTGATCCATCTTGACGACACGAACTCTAACGATTGTGGGAAGAAACGACAAGTGCGTAATGTCGACACGATAAGTAACACGGTTAATTACTTCAAAAATAGTTCCCAAAATAAATTAGTACCGACACTCAGAGACATATCTGTTTAAAAATAATAAAGACAAGCCGAGGCTGTAATTACCCCACAGGTGTCTGTAACAAAAGGTTATAACGTACGAGTAAGTCAGGTCAACAGGTGTAGGCAATTACAGGTGTACACGTGTGTACTCACCCTTTTGATGCAGCTGTGTGCGGGAGGCGTCATCCTTGAGACTGTCAGCAGAGGCCACCAGCTCGTCCAACTGTGGCTTCTTCCCCTCCAGCTCCCGCAACACACTCTGAAACACACAATAACAACTCATTAAATAATGTATAACAGTACCGCATATAAAAATAATAGTTATGAATAATGTAACAAAATATAACACTTGCTTATTTATATATACAGTGTTGTATAATTATGTAAATTATGTTAAATTTCTACACCAGGTATTCCAGTCAATTCACACACACACACACACACACACACACAAACAAAAGAAACAGTATCCACAAGAGGAGACGTAAATCACGGAACCCCAAACACAGTTGTAAAGTTCTTAAAAACAACAAACTAGACAAAAACAAAGTTTTGGAAACAGTAAAACAATAAAGGTGTCCCACGTCACTGAGCATGACAGGTCATGGTGTCCCACGTCACTGAGCATGACAGGTCATGGTGTCCCACGTTACTGAGCGTGAGAGGCCATGGTGTCCCACATTACTGAGCGTGACAGGCCATGGTGTCCCACATTACTGAGCGTGACAGGCCAGTAAGTCATTTATGTGTAAAATTGGTTTAGGGTAGTACGACCGCCGCCAACACCTAAAGTCGGCTAGTTGTGTAACGCGGCGTCGGGAAATAACTCAGCGGCACCGGACAACTTCACCAACAGCACAGGATAACCATCTCCCTCTGATCACGCCCCACTCACTAATCGATTTACATCAACTTCCACCATCAGTGAAGGACAGACACAAAACATGGGAGGTAAATGGATCTTCCCAAAAATTCTACACCGCCAGGAAATTAAAACTCTCTCTCACTTGGGGGGCGAGTGTACTACACCCCACGATGGCCAGTACACACACTATGACACACTGGTTGTGATACACCCATAGCCTGATAAGAGTACTCAAATAAATACAAGTATAATGATAGTGTGTAATTGTGTATAAACGTAAATCACCCGCTTGAGTCATGCATACCAACAAGTACTCGGGTATACACATAAACATGCAACGTCAGACCCACGTGGCAACCCGAGCAGACATAAACATAAGGTACACAGCGCTCCCCTCCCTCGCTGGCGTCACCTCACTCTCTCTCTCTCTCTCTCTCTCTCTCTCTCTCTCTCTCGAATACACCAATAAAAAACATCAATAGGATCAAAACCTTAGATGAAATGAGAAAAGTGTGTTTAAGCCACCAACCATAACTAACACTACGATTCACTACACCATCCAAGTAACTCTCCTCACGACATACACTTGGTAACCCCTCACTTAGACGTAATCCTTGGCGTTCCTACCGTGGACTGCTGAACACCCCTCCCCTTCCCCCTCAGGATAATGGCTCGACACAAGGCTTCAAACTTGGCAAGTGGTTCATCATCTCCCAGTCTCCGGCCTCAACAACTTCGCCACGGTATCTGTTACATGATACGAGAACACGCGCGCGCACACACACAGAGAAAAAAGAAAGAAAGACAGACAGCCAGAGAGAGAGAGAGAAAGAGAGAGAGAGAGAGAGAGAGATTGCCTCAGTTTTACGACCATCAGCGTCAACGAGAGAAGTTGAAGCCAGTCAGCCACACAAACTCAAACTTACACTCACCCGGAATATAAACGCGGCCACCGACACTTCACGCTGCCCAAAGTCCCGCCCCGTGTTTACTGCGTCTGACGGGGGAAATATTTATCTTTCTCCCCGATAGGTTATCTCAAAGGCTTTCTTCACTTAAACCCCCCAAAATCCTATAGATCCCTTCGTCATTTGTGAAGAATGTTAAGGTAAACTTTCTACTCGCAGCGATCTTTCATAAGGCTTTAAAATATTGAAGTAGTAGTATTGATATAAAGTAGTTACATATGAATGAATACAATGGCTATAAGGCACGGTTACTGAGAGAGAGAGAGAGAGAGAGAGAGAGAGAGAGAGAGAGAGAGACTTCAAATAGCATGCTATTTCTTGGACTTGTGACGTAATGTTATCGATTCTAACTCTTCACTATGATTGGGTGAGTGGCCTTGCATAATCAAAATGAGGTTCTGGATAAAAACAAGACCTTAACAGACGTAAATACTTAAAAAAAAAATCGTATCTTCAAGGAGGGAGGGGGTCGATGAATTTCAAAATGAACACTGTGACTCCTGTTGTCTCGGTATGGTTGTCAAAATCCTTCGTCTGTTGAGTCAGAAAGATATATTTTTAGACACAACTCTTAACGTCAGGCATTTTTTTTTTTAAGGGACACCATATATCCAGGTTGACATACACCACGCTATACACAACATGAGCAGCTGGCAGGTGTTGGTAGGAGAGGTAAGGAGAGGCAAGGAGAGGTAAGGAGAGGTAAGGAAAGGCAAGGAGAGGTAAGGAGAGACAAGGAGAGACAAGGAAAGGCAAGGAAAGGCAAGGAAAGGTAAGGACGAGGCCATCACCACAGCACCATGACAGAAATAACAATGAACCAATACGAGTGACTTGATATTACTGTCGCCACCGGTTGCATGTTACTTTGGGTGAGACCGTTTATGCCCACACACAAGCATCAAACTGCGCCTCTCGCTTTCACCTGATGATGAATACCTTTTGTGTCTTCATTAAAAAAACCATTATTTTTTTTACTATCATTATTAGTTTTATTATTCTCCTTCAAATTATTATTATTATTATTATTGTAGGTATCTGTTCTAAACTTATATCCACTAAAAAAGAGCATTATTCCATTTTTCGTGTATAATCCTTCACACACACACACACACACACACTATACCCATGTCACAGCCTTCATAAACACTGACCCTTCAACACTCATATAAACAGTGTTAGGTAGTAAATATACGTCATATCAATATTCATTCATGTAAACACACCAGCAGCCTCATTCACCGCCCCGTTCACCTGTCATTCATCAGCCCCTCGCCGGCGATAGTATGGTTATTAGGTGATGTATGACTGGTGGTGTTTGACGTAATGTAGTTAAGCGTGTATGTCAGTGTATAGCGTGTGGCAAATGGTCGTAGTTTACCGTGTATGTCAGTGTATAGTGTGTGGCTAATGGTCGTAGTTTACCGTGTATATGTCAGTGATAAGTTAGAACACAGTATAATTTTCTGTATATTTGTGTATTTCAGTGGTATATATTCCTACAACCCATATGGTATGAATCTCAGGCCAGGAATATAAACATTTCATATACAATTGTGTTACTAAGTTTAATATATTTAACATGACACACAAATGTTAGTTTATTTTTATCAACATTACACTAGAAGCAGTTTGGTTTCTGTAAGCAGCTATAAAAAATATTTATCAGTACTTCATAAATTAATTGACTTCGTTATATTTATTCTCACTTCAATATCACATTATACAGTTTATTGTAGTGTACATAGTCTATACTTTTCAACGCTAGTGTCCATTCTAATGTGTTGTTATTATTACTATTATTATTATTATTATTATCATTATTATTATTGCATTGTTGTTACTATTACTATTTTCGTTATTATATCATCACTAGTAACCACGCTATCATGATTATTATTAACAGTCCAGCATTGTCATAAATAACAGCAGTACAATATTACCACTATTAATAACATTACTTCACGGCACTACAAGTTTTAACACAGGGATGAACAGAGACCTCCGGGCGGGGCTTCGTCAGGCAGGCTGGAGAGTCTCCGTGCTGCTAACTTTTATTAATATTAGAAACAATCCGCTTAAGGCCCATGGACACCGCCACCCTGAGTCTTACCAGTAGAGAGAGAGAGAGAGAGAGAGAGAGAGAGACAGTAAATGGTGGTGGAGAGAAGGAATGAAGAGAGGGAGAAGAGAATGAAAGAGAGTAAGAAAGAAAGAGATAAGTAATAGCCGTAGAGAAAGTGTGAGTGAGTGTTAGAGAGTATTAGAGAGAGAGAGAGAGAGAGAGAGCACAACTAAATTTTATCCAAGCCGTAGTTAAGCCCATGAGAGCCCGGAGCTAAGTTTGGGCCGGTCTCTTACAAAGTTTCTTCTGGTAAATTTTAAGAGGATCGTTCAGCATACTTACAAACTCTTACTTGGCGAGAGATCTTTAATTCTCAACAGCCGCCCTGCATACTGAGTGTTAGCCCGAGCCCAGGACATGACCATACCTTGCTACACTTAGTATTTTTTCTCGTTTTTTCGTTTTTTTTTAATAATGTGTCCCTATCCTAACCTAACCTAACCTAACCTAACCTAACCTAACCTAACCTAACCTAACCTAGCCTAACCTATCCTAACCTAACTTAACCTGAACTTAATTAACCTAACCTAAACCGTACCTAACTTAACCTTGATTTAATTAACCTAACCTGAACTTAATTAACCTAACCTGATCTAATCTAACCATACTTAATCTAATCTAATTAGACCTAATCTAACCTATAACCTATCCTAACATAACCTAACTTAACCAACCCCTAATCTAACTTTATCTAACCTTGCCTGACCAAACATAACCCCACTTAACAAGCCCCTAACCTAACATAACCTAAACCAACCCAAACCAACTTACCTCTAACATAACATAACATAACATAACATAACATGACATAACATAACTTCCCTCAAACATAACATCACATAAATAAAAAAACACCAATTCTTTCTCGTTTTCTCCACAACAAACACCAAATTGCTGTTATTCACCACATACTCTATAACCGGCTATGGGCTAAGATTAGGTTAGGTTACCGTATATATCTGGACACTTATCCAATAATAACAATGACAAAAACACTCGTTTGGCCTATAAAACATTCCTACCAAACAACAACAACAACAATATAACAAAACATAAAAAAAAATACCATCTCGGGTACTTTCGTGTGTGTGTGAGAGAGAGAGAGAGAGAGAGAGAGAGAGAGAGAGAGAGAGAGAATGACTTACTCTCTCTACACATCAGTATTAAAAGCCATTAAACATCTCCAGAAATACTTACATTGGTCTCACTTAGGAAAATATAAATTGTAAAAAATGTAAAAATATGATATACATTTCCTGGAATTTATAGCGGATTATTATATATGATCTCAGATTACATTG